CATGCTCAATGAAAGATGCGGCTGGCGCCTTGGCGAAGGCAGCATTTTCCATCTGACATGTGACAGTCGCCACAGCGAGAACGACATACTCAACGAAGGATGTCGTCGGCGCCGAGGCAACAATAACATATTCAATCAGACATGCGGCCTGCGCCAAGGCAAGAACGACATGCTCGATGAAGAATGTCGCTGGCGCCTCGGCGGCAGCCTCATTTTCAATCGCGAGATCGACATGCTCAATGAAGGATGTCACCAGCGCCTCGGCGACAGCATCATTTTCAATCAGACATTTGGCTGGCGCCAAGGCGAGAACAACATTCTCAATGAAGGACGTCGCTAGTCCCTGAGCGGCAGCCACATTTTCTATCAGAGATGTGGCCCACGCACATGCGAGAACAACGCGCTCAATGCGAGATTGTCGCTGGCGGCTAGGCGGCTACAACATTTTGAATCATATATGTAGCCCACGCACAAGCCGGATCATCATTCCGAGACAATCGGAGCCAAAATGCAAGTGTCACGCCCATTCCGCGCGGGCCCGGCTCGGTGTCACCGAGGTCCGGCTACCTTAGGTGGGTAGTCTACATTAGGGGGGGCGTGTACATGTTCATTGAAAGCGAGGCTCCTGCTCAAGCGGAGGGTTGGTCCCAAATCTGAGCCCTTGAAGGCCCAGCAGCGACGCCCATGGCTCCCGCTTAATACGTTCTCGCAATTTACTCCGAGACGCCCTGGCCAGAGAGGCCCCCGGACTAACTCAGAAACGGCGCTCTCGCCCGGAACCTCGTCGAATTAAAATCAAAATGGTGAAGACCCAATTGCGACAACAACGGCTCCCGCTCTACATTTCTTTAAACTTACGCCGAAAGGCCCCAAACTGAGGAACGCCGCTATTGCCAACAGCCTCCTCGCCATTCACTCAAGCTAGTGAGTTGTCTGCGGGCACGTTAGCTCACATGACGGCCATAGCGGCGTGGTGGGCAACCTTAATGTACTGCTGCATCAATGTTTGTTGACGAGCGGAATGCATTCCGGCCATTTTCGCTTGAGCGTGGGCTGGATTCGCTCGGACAGCAATCTCGAGCGCGGGCTTGATTCATCAACGTCAGCTTCAAACAATCCCCCGGACAACGATGGCTCTTGGCCGTGACTTACTCACAATTTACTCAGGACTTCCGCTCCCGCCTGATGTTTCTTTGTAAATTACGGAGACACGGCGCTCTCGCCCGAGACTTCCAAATTAGTCCAAAATCGCACCCTTGCCGCTGAAGAATCGCACTCTCTCGCGCCCACGACTTCCTGACGGCTTGCTCCAGAATCACGCTCTCGCCCGATCATTCCTGACAGCGTACTGCGGTAGCGCTCTCGCCTGAGACGTTCAACCCACTTCAGCAATCCTCCTGCCTTGGTGGGGAGAGGTCAGATAGGCGCTTTAGCCGGCCAGGCGGCTAGACGCTGATATGATCGGGTGCAGGGCCAGGCCTGCCAGGCCTGTGGCTTAGCCAATGGCCTGAGGGGGCGCTTAGCCAGGTGGCCAAGGCAGGGGGGGATCTTAGGCATCGCGCTCTCGCCACTCGGGCACCGCGTCCTCGCCGAGGACTTCGCGAGTCAGTCGGGAGTCGCGCTCTGACCCTGGGCGCTGGCTGACACTCGGGAGCCCCCGTCCGAACAGCAACTGCACGTCTCAGAAGCACGCTCCGGCAGTTCGTGACGCGGACCCTCTCCCTTTCTCCCTCCCCCCTCTTCGCTCTTCCCTCCTCCCTCCCTCCCTCCCTCCCTCCTACTTCTTCTTTCCTCTTCCTCGTGTAGGGTCCGCGTTCGCTAACCCTGTCGGGCTTGACCCAGGAGCTGTGATGAATACAAGTCTCCCCGAAGGAGTGACGTTCATAGACTCTGAAACCCAGCGCAAGGGGGAAGGAGAAACGCATAAAGAAAATTCGTGAACTTTGACTTCTGAAGAATCCGCCACCGTGCTGCGAAATGAGTCCTCCAGCCCTGATCTGGAGGATTGGGTATTCACGAGTCCCTACCCCGAATTCACGGATTCTCTGGGCCGTCTCGCGTGCTGGCGCGTGTTCTCGCTGCTTCTCGCGTGACTTCCCCAGGGGTCAGAGGCCTCCAGGAGGCCCCCAAGACAGTTCAAGCGGGTCTCGAGCGCTCAAAGACGCCCAAGACGGTCTCCAGACGGCCGACGAAAGCCCCAAGACGCCCCAAGAGGACTCCAAGACCCCCCCAAAGAGGGATCCGAGAGGCTAGAATCATTGATGTTTCAATGGTTTTTGAAGGATCTTGGCGTTCTCGCCTTTCCAAGCATCCGACCCTCTCAGAAGGCCCAAAGGGGCCCCAGCTCGCCCCAAGCCGGCCCCCAAGAACGGCCCGAGACGACCCACGAGGCCCCCAAGACGGCCTGAGAAGGGGGCCCCGAGACGACCCACGAGGGTCCCAAGATGGCTCAGCACCGCCCCGAGAAGGTCCAACGAGGACCCCAAACGCCCCAGAAGCCCTCCAGAAGCCCCAGCAGGCCCCCGAAAGGGCCAAATCAGGCCCAGGAGGGAAAGGAGAAGGACGATGAGGAGGAGGAGGAGGAAGAGGAGGAGGACGAGGAGGAGGAAGAGGAGGAAGAGGAGGAGGATGAGGAGGAGCAGGAGGAGGAAGAGGAGGAGGACGAGGAGGAGGACGAGGAGGAGGACCAGTGTAAACCCAAGAGTCAACAACGATGTTGGAATGGACCTTCCCTCCAAGCTCCCTCGTCATAAGCCCCTACAAAGGTTCTTTCCCACTGAGGGAAATGCCTCGTTGAAAAACAACCGTTTGACCCTGAACCATGCCAAAACATTATTCTCGGGACTCCAACGTCACGGATCAACCTGACTGGTTGCGTCTTGACGACCCTGAACCATGCCAGAACACCACTCCTGGGACTTCAACACCACGAATCAATGTAACTGTTGCACCCTCATAGTCCTGAATATTTCGAGAACTCCGTTTCTGCTACGCTGATAATGGGAATCAGTGAAACCTTGCAAATCTTACAATGTGCGCGGCGCTAAGGCGATAACCACATGTTGAAGAGGAACCGCCCTCAATCCGTGAAACTCTTGCAAACATTTGGGAATAATGCACGCGGCGCGAAGGTGATGAAAAGGAACCGCCCTCAATCCGTGAAGCTCTTGCAAACTTGTAAGACGAATGCACGCGGCGCTAAAAGGAGAACCACATGTTGAAAACCACCCGCCCTCAATCCGTGAAACTCTTGTCAAAAAAGAATGTTAACGGCGCTAAGGCGAGAACCACATTTTGAAAACAAAACGCCATCAAACGGTAAAACTCTTGCAACTTGTCAAAACGAATGCGCGCGGCGCGAAGGCGAGAGCCACATTTTGAAAACCAATCGCCATCCATCTGTGAAACGGTTGCCAATATGTAAGCTTCAGGATCATAAATGGTGAGGAAGTCTCAGGCGAAACGCCCGGCCCACCCTAAAAACAGGCCTCGGAACGCGACAGGGAGAAATTATGTATGAGGAAAAAGAGTGGAGGAGAAGGAGAAGGAAGAGGAGGAGCAGGGGGAGGAGGAGGCGTAGGAGGAGGAGGAGGAGATGGAGGAGGAGGAGGAAGAGGAGGAGGAGAGGGAGGAGGAGGATGGGGAGGAGGAGGAGAAGGACGAGTAGGAGGAGGAGCAGGAGGAGGACGGGGAGGAGGAGCAGGATGAGGAGGAGCAGGAGGAGGAGGGAGAGGAGGAGGAGGAGGAGGACCAGTGCAAACCCACGGGTCAACAACGATTTTGGAATAATCCCTCCCTCCAAGCTCCCTCGTCCCAGGCTCCCACTAATGTTCATCTCCACTGAGAGGACTGCCTCGTCGGAGGAGAACCGTCTGAAGATTCTGAAGCATTCCAAAACATTGTTCTCGGGGAATCCAACGCCACGGATCAACCTGACTGTTGCGCCTTGACGACCCTGAATTGTGCCAGAACGCCATTCCTGGGACTTTAACACATCGAATCAACTTAATCGTTGCACCCGCATAATCCTGAATCTGTCCAAACCCCACCTTTGGTACGTTGATCATGGGAATCCGTGAAACTATTGCTAATGTTGAAACGAATGTGCGCGGCGCGAATGTGAGAACCACATTTTGAAAGGGAGCCGCCCTCAATCCGTGAAGCTCTTGCAAACTTGACATGCACGCGGCGCTAAGGCGAAAACTACATATTGAAAACCACGCGCACTCAATCCGTGAAGCTCTTGTTTTTTGAAATGAATGCGAACGATGCTAAGGCAAGAGCCACATATTGAAAACCAACCGCCATCCATCCGTTGAACTCTTGAAATTTGTAAAAACGAATGCGCGCGGCGCTTGGGCGAGAACCACATTTTGAAAACCAGTCGCCTTCAATACGCGAAGCTCTTGCGAATGTTTAAAACGAATGTGTGCGGCGTTCGAGCGGGAACCACATTTTGAAAACTACCCGCCCACCATCAATGAAAACGCTGCCAATGTTTAAATTTCAGGGTCAGAAATGGTGAGAACGTTCAAGCGAAGCGCCCGGCCCGCCCTAAAAAAGTGGCCTCGGGGAGCGACTGGGAAAAATTAGTGATAAGGAAAAGGAATTGGAGAGGAGGAGGAGAAGGAGGAGGACGAGGAAGAGGAGGACGAGGAAAAGGAGGAGGAAAATGAGGAGGAAGAGGAGGAGGAGAGACGAGAAAAGAGGAGGACGACATAGGAGAAAAGGAAGGATGAGGGAAAAAAGGATGGAGTGAGGGAGGGAGGGAGGGAAGAGTGAAGCACGACACCTCCACCACTTCCTCGCCCTCATCGCCCCCCCTCCTCCACCGCCTCCGCCCACATCTCCCTCCTCCTGCTCCTCCTCCTGCTCCTCCTCCTCCTCCTCCTCCTCCACCATCTTTTTCGCCCCCCCCACCCCCCCCGCGTCGCCCTTCGCCTCGCCGGGCCGCCGTCGGCGGGGGACCGGAGGCCGGGGCGGGGCCGTCGGTCCGCGGCCTCGTGCAGCTCGGGCACCTTCACGAGGGCGTTCATCTGCTGCATCACCTGCGGTTTTCGCTCCTCCTTGGGCGCCCTTGTCGTCGCCCTCCTCGTCCGCATCCTCGCCCTAACCTCACCCATTCAGTGCTCTTCCTCGCCTTCCTCACCGCCCCCTTTTCTCTCAACGTTCCCCAAGGGAATTTCGCACGATGCGCGGAACCCGCCGCGCGGAACCTGCGGCGCGCGGCTGGCGCCGCGGGTGTTCAAAACGACGAGCATGCGGAGGGTGACGGGGGAGGGCGAGGATTGAAAAGGTTGGCGGCAAAGGGGGGGGGATGACGAGGACGAAGAGGACCACATGCGGGCGGACGGCGGACGACAAGGTGGGGATGAGACGGAGGAGGACGCGGGAGAGGACGACGAGGGAAAAGAGCAAGAGGTGGGGCTGGTGGGCGAAGAGAATGCTGACGGAAAGAACGAGGAGCAGGCTGACGAGGACAAGGGGACTAGAAATGTAAAGCTCGTTGTGAAAACGGATGTTCTTCGAAGCGGAATATCTAGCGGAGGGAATATCTAGCGGAGGGGTGCGCGAGATAACGCGTATTGCGGGCGCGGCAGGCCAGCCTTCCAAGCCGCCCAGGCTACCAACAGAGCCGCCCAGGCCGCCAACGCGCCACAACGGACAGACCATAACAATTGTGGCGACAGGCAATACAGAGTATACCAGGTTCCTTATATAATGTTGGAGTGACTGGGGGCCTTCTGTTAGCCGGGCACCTCGTGCAAGATTGCTGTCGTGGCCGGGCAGAAATCTGGCGGCAGATTATTGGTGGAGCGCAGAATAGACTACACAAACGCTCAACGCGCAACGGCCTGCTGCCCCGCGAGCGCAGTTCATGGAGACAGCCCCATCGCTGGCATGGCCAGCTACATGGCACTCTCGAACGTGGCTCGTGACGTGCGTGGATATGCGCACCTTTTGTTTTGTTGTTCTCTCTCTCTCTCTCGCCCTCTCTCTCTCTTTGTTTGTTTGCTCTCTCTCTCTGATGACGCAGTTCGCGAACTGCGAGTCGGTCGACGCATTCGCGAACGCAGTTCAGAAGTGCGACGCCGAGTGGATCGCCCGTCGTAGGGAACGCCGAACCTTCTGCTTAGGAAACATGAAGACCACGTCGCGCTGACATTTACCACTACCACATTTACCGCCCGACCTGGTGAGGATATCGTTCCACTCACACTTCCCCAATTGGCATCTGCTCCATAGCCGCTGGCCCCAACATGATGGACCCACGAACCCGGAAAGGGATATAGACATGTGCAGCATGGTCACATTTTCACGATACCCAAATGGGCGACACCTCACGAAACATCCCACGAGACACCCCGCGAAACATCCCACGAGACACCTCACGAAACATTCCACGAGACACCTCACGAAACATTCCCCGAGACACCCTGTGAAACATTCCACGAGACACCCCACGAACAGGCAACCACTCAACCAGACACCCCACGAAACATTCCACGGGGGTGCGACTGGGTGTGGTCGTGCTGGGGTGTGGTCGTGCTGGGGTGTGGTCGTGCTGGGGAGTGGTCGTGCTGGGGTGTGGTCGTGCTGGGGGGTGGTCGTGCTGGGGGGTGGTCGTGCTGGGGGGGTGGTCGTGCTGGGGGGTGGTCGTGCTGTGCTGGGGCGTGGTCGTGCTGGGGGGTGGGTCGTGCTGGGGTGTGGTCGTGCTGTGGTGAGGTCGTGCTGGGGTGGAGTCGTGCTGGGGGGGGGTGCTGGGGGGGTCGTGCTGGGGTGTGGTCGTGCTGGGGGTGTGGTGTGCTGGGGTGGGGTCGTGCTGGGGTGGGGGGCTGGGGTGGTCGTGCTGGGGGTGTCGTGGGGTGTGGTCGTGCTGGGGTGGGGTCGTGCTGGGGTGGGGTCGTGCTGGGGTGTGGTCGTGCTGGGGTGTGGACGTGCTGGGGCGTGGTCGTGCTGGGGTGTGGTCGTGCTGGGGTGTGGTCGTGCTGGGGTGTGGACGTGCTGGGGGGGGGGTCGTGCTGGGGCGTGGTCGTGCTGGGGGGTGGTTGTGCTGGGGAGTGGTCGTGCTGAGGTGGCCCGCACCCTGTGATTTATCGATCGGGATTGCAAAAACAAGCGTTTCGCCTGAGACACCCTCAAATTTTAATCCGCCGGCCCACATCGACCTCGATATTTATCAAGGAAAGAATCCGCTGGCCCACCTCAATTGAGGCACCGGGGACAAGTTTACCTACTAAAAGGAAACCCTGGGCCTGCGCCCTTTCCGGGAAAAAGACGAGAGCCCTATAGTTTCAAGGAGGGAGTGGGATCTGACACTGTCGCGTTGGTCACACAAGACTGGCACTCTCTGTAGGGCTCTGCTCTGTGTGCCTCAAGCGCTCCGTGCAAGCACGAGTCGGCACGAGCAAAGAGATCGGGCTCAGGTGGCTTGAGAAGAGGGGGATGAGGGTGAGGATGAGGATGATGAGGAGGACGAGGAGGAGGGGGAGAGGATGATGAGGAGAAGAAGAAAGAGGACGAGGACGAGGAGGAGGAGGAGGAGGAGGAGGAGAACCGACAACGGGGCGGGTGAGCATGGGGAGGCGGCTGGAGGAGGGCAGGAAGGAACAGGAGGGGAATGAGGACGATAAGCTCCTCGTCATCCCTCCATCCCTGCTGTAGCTGCTCCTCGACCACCTCGTCCTCCTTCGTCCACTCCTCGTCCTCGTCCTCGTTCTCGTTTTCCTCTCCGTCTTGCGCCTCGCCCCCCTAACGGTTGAGGTGGAGGACGTTGGCGAAAGCCCATTCGGACCCCACGGGCTCACCGCCGTCGACCTCGTCATGGCGTCCGCCAACCGCATCGTCGCGGCCTGGTTCGCCATCTCCTGCGGTCGCGCCAGCGGCAACGAAGCAAGCATCAACCTTGCAGGACCCGCGGGACCTGGGCACCTTGGCAGCATATCTTCTTCTCGCCCAAGCGATATGGCACTTTTGTGGGACCGCACGCGAGATCCAACGCCCCGAAAAAAATCATCGCGACAAAAGAACATCGTTTCCTCAGCTCATACATGCCTGGGCATAAGAAACAGACGACAGATCCGCACTGCCACAGCCACGATCCACATTGAACGACTATGGGTGTCCTCCACCGAAGCCACGATACCTTGTAACCTACCTCGCTTTTGACCACTCTCGCTTCCAAGAGATACCAAGCGATGCCAAACTACGGCCTGTACTGGTCAGGCCGCTTGACGAGGAGGCGCGTGGTATGACTTGGTTTTGCCTGGAAGCGAAAGCGGGGTAGGTAATTCACGCTCTGATCATCTTCTGCTTGTAAGCAAAAGGTCCGCACATTCGAGACCACCATGTTGTCTACATGATTATGGACCCGCGCTCCCGGGGCCACAGGCAATTGCAACAAAACCAATGGGCCCGCATTCGCGACACCACGACCTTGCTTAAAACACCATGCGCCCATGCTTGCACAACGCCTAGGCCCCTCCCAGAGCCACGAGCCATAGCAACAACCTCCCGAACCAACGGCCACATACATGTTGGCCCTCACCTTCGAGGCCGCGATACGTAGTAGAAAATAAGCGAGCCGCGCTCGTGACGGCACGACCGCTCGTGCACTCACCATGGATCTGCGTTCCTGGGGCCACGAGTCCTCGCACAAGCCCGCGCTCAATACACCGGCGCATTCACATACACGTGCAATTACATACATATATACAAATAGACACCCACAAACTCATACTTATGTGCTCACACACATTAGTACATACATATGTGTGTAATTATATATGTATGTACACGTGTTATTGTGCAGATGTGTACATGCGCTAAAATAAAAAAATACATATGTGTATGTGTACGCGTGTGTAAATGTAGATGTGTGTGTACATGAATATGTATGGTTATGTTTGTTGTAACAGCGTGGGCACCACACCGTGTGTCTAGTAACGTTTGTTGTGCAGTCGGCGTAAAAATCGTTTCTGCGCAATCTATGGTGCAACCTACAAACTGCAGTCAACGTGATGCGATTTACGAGGTACACTTGATTTCGCCTAACGAGTAGACACATCCCATGCTCTTGCAAACATCCCACCCACCCACCCGCAACTCTGTTTGCCAAACCCATGCGGTGGCAATTGCGATGAGAGAGCGCGCCCGCAGCGCCGACGCAAAGGGGGGGGGTCCCACCTTAACTACCCCCCCCTCCCTTCCACCTGGAAGCCCCCCCCCTCTCCCCCTTTTTCGCCTCCCCCCTGAAGTGTCCCCCCCCTCGCCCCCTTTCGCCGCTCCGAAGCTACCCCCCCTCCCCCCTTTCCAAAGGGAAGGGGGAGCTTAGCTACCTCCCCCCATTCCCTTGACCCCCCTCTGCCGGAAGCTCCCCCCCTTTGGTTTTAAAGGGGGGGGTATCCCCCCCTCTTTCGGCACCTAACCCCCCTCCCCTCCTCACGCAAAGGGAAGGGACGGCTTAGCTATCCCCCCTCTCCCCTTAACCCCCCCCCGCCGGAAGCTGCCTCCCCCCTCTTTTGGTTCCAAAGGCCGGAGGGAGCTTAGCACCCTCACCCTTTTCGGCACCCGGGAAGCTACTCCCCCCTCCCCACCTTACGCAAAGGGCGGGTGATGCTTAGCTACCCCGACCCCCTCCTTTGACCCCCCTGAGCAGAAGCTCCCTCCCCTCCTCACCTTTACTTCCAAAAAAGGGGGCTTAGCCCCCCCCCCTCCCCCCTTTCGGCACCCGGGCTACCCCCCCCTCCCCTCCTTACGAAAAGGACGGAGGGGAGCTTAGCACCCCCCCCCTCTCCCCAGGACCCCCCTCTGCCAGAAGCTCCCCTCCCCTCCCCCCTTTCCTTCCAAAAAGAATGGCGGACTTAGCAGCCCCCCCCCCTCCCTTTCGGCACCCGGGAAGCCCCTCACTTTACGAATGGGAAGGCGGAGCATAGCAACATTCCTCCCTCCCTTGACCTTCCTGTGACGGAAGCCCCCGCTCCTCAATTTTTCCTTCTTCCCCCGCAGGAAACTCCCCCCCCTCGTTCCAAAAGGACGAAAGGCCGCTTAGCTACCACCCCCCTCCCTTGAACTCCCCCTGCCGGACGATCCTCCCCCGTCGCCGTCATCGTTGCCGTCGCCGTCGCTCGACGTCTTCGTATGACCTCGTCGTGGTCGTCACGACAAGAACGAGGTCATGCGAAGACGGCGACGCACGACGGACCACGTGCGACCGACGACGACGACGACCCAGGGTCAAAGAAAACGAGACCACGACCCAGGGGCTGAGACAACGAGGAAACGCAGCGGAGTCCGAGAAAACGAGACCACTGGCCAGGGGCTGAGAAAACGAGAAAACGAGAACACAAACCAGGGTCCCCAAAAAACAAACCAGGGTCCGAGAAAACGAGACCACGACCCAGAGGCAAAGAAGACGCGAAAACTAACTTGGGCCCGATAAAACGAGGCCACAACCCAGTGGCCGGCAAAACGAGACAACGAGAAAACAAACCAGTGCCCGAGAAAACGAAACCACGACCCGGGGGACGACAAAACGAGACAACGAGAAAACGAACCATTGCCCGAGAAAGCGAAAGCACGACCCAAGGGCTGAGAAAATGAGACAACGAGAAAATGAACCAGGGCCCGAGAAAGCGAAACAAAAACACAGAAGCCGAGAAAACAAGACAACGAACCAGGGGCCGAGAAAACAAGCTAACGACCCAGGGGCCGAGAACACGAGAAAACGAGAGAACTAACCAGATCCGAGCAAACGAGACCACGACCCAGGCCGAGAAAACGACACAATCGCTCCTAGAAAACGAGACCACGACCCAGGGACCGCGAAAACGAGACCACGGCCCAGGGGCCGAGAAAACGAAATAACGAGAAAACGCACCAGTGCCCGAGAAAACGAAACCACGACCCAGGGGACGACAAAACGAGACAACGAGAAAACGAACCAGGGCCCGAGAAAGCGAAAGCACGACCCAAGGGCCGAGAAAACGAGACAACGAGAAAACGATCCAGGGCCCGAGAAAGCGAAACAAAAACACAGAAGCCGAGAAAACAAGACAACGAACCAGGGGCCGAGAAAACGAGATAACGACCCAGGGGCCGAGAACACGAGAAAACGAGAAAACAAACCAAGTTCCGAGCAAACGAGACCACGACCCAAGCCGAGAAAACGCCAACATCGCTCCTAGGAAACGACACCACGACCAAAGGCAGTGAAAACGAGAAAACGATAAAAGGAATCAGGGCCCGAGAAAACGAGACCACGAACAAGGGGCCGAGAAAACGAGGAAACGAGACAACAAGCCAGCGTCTGAGAAAACGACACCACAGCCCACGGGCCGAGAAAACAAAAAAAGGGGAACACTAACCAGGGTCCGAGAAAACGAAACCACAGCCCAGGGGCCGAGAACATGAGAAACGAGAGCACGAACCAGGGTCAGAGAAAATGAGACGACGACCAGGGGCAGAGAAGACGAGAAGACGAAGCAGGGCCAGACAAAACGATACCACGACCCAGGGGACAGAGAAAACGAGATTCTCCGTCTCCGTTCCTTCCGCTCCTCCCTTCCCTGAGCCGACGGTCCAAACAAATTGAGACATCGTCACAAATCGTGACCGGCACCCTACCCACAATTTTTCTGCTGCATTTCTCTAGCCAGATCGACCCCTGCTGTTCCTGGAGCCCGAAACGGGCGAGAACACCGGGCGCGAATAATTACGTCGACAAGACCTCAGGGTTGCTTCCCCCACTCCTCCCGCATCCACCTCCCCGATCCCGCCCCGCCCTGCCCACCCCGCGCCGGCCCGCTGCGCCCAAAGCCACGAAGAGCTTGGAGGGGGCGCGCGCCGCCGCCGCCGCCGGCTCCGACGACGCCGCACTCAGGTTCGCCCTGGCGGTGTAGAGTCTACCCTTGTAGGGCGGCGGGATCTACACGTAGTCACTGCTCCTGGCCAGGTGCATCCTGGGCCAAGGAAAAGTGCAGGCGCCCTCCTGGCTTGGCCAGAGAGGCACATACACCGCTTCTGGGCCCAGGATTGGCCTGGCCAGGAGAAGTGGATATGTATAGATCAGGTGTTGCTAGAAGTGCCCAAGGTGCCCCCAGGAATTCCCAGGAAGCCCTCACGGTTTCAATTTCCAGAGCACCCCTCACAAGGCCGGGAAGGGCCCAGAGGCTCCAAAATTGAGCGGAGAGCTGGGGGGCACATTGGACCAGGGGCACCTGTAGCAACCCTAGGACAGTTGGCGGTGCGCACAGGGGGGCAGGGGGAGGAGGGAATGCCTCTTAAAAGCAGCCTGCTTCTTAGAGGGCGGCGGCCTCACATCAATAGACAAGGCCTCCGCCTTCTAAGGAGCACGGTGCTTCCAATGAGCATTCTCTTCCTCCCCGTCCCCCCCTCAACGCATGACCGAAATAGATCCCGTCGCCCGACCTTGGCCTTGCTGGACCGGACCAGCGACTGCCCCGCCCCGTTTTCGAGCGCTGCGCGAGGGGAGAAGCAGAAGCGAGAGCCCCCGAGGTCCAGGCGCTGCGCTTCCTGTTCGGGCCAGGCGGTTCCGCATCATTTCGGGCCCTGGCCATCGCTCGGGTGTCCATTCCCCGTGCATTTTCGGTTCCGTGCTTGTTCTCGGGAGATGGTCCAAGATGCTCCTCGATGGGCCTCGCCGAGAAAAATGCACTCGTCCGAGCGATGCCAAGGGCCTTGGAATGGATGCGGCGCGGCAAATACCGCAGAAAGAAACGGTCCGGGGCTCCCGTCTTGATTTTTTGCATTGTTGCATGTTTTGCTGCAGCGCGAAGAGATGCGCTCTCGACCCGCGGATCAAACAATGTTTTGCTGCAGCGCCAGAACTCGGAGGAGGGCAATGAGAAGGCAGGGAAGGGAGGGCAAGCGGCGGTGGGGGGCGAGAGCAAGGTGGGCGGCGGAAGCATGGGGAGGAGGGTGATGGAGGAGGAGGAGGAGGAGGAAGAGGAGAGGAGGGAGGGACGAAGCAGGAGGACAAGGAAGAGGAGAAAGGGCCCAAGAGGGACGGCGGAGAAAAATGCAAGAAGGGGGCGGAGGGAGGAGCAAGAGGAGGGCGAGGGTGGAGAAAGGAACTGGAGAGGAACCTGCAAGAAGAGATGTGCATGGCGTGTTGAGAACAAGGTGGGGAGTGGAGGGAGAATATAGGATGGGGTGAATTAAGGATGGGGAACGGGAGCGGGCGAGGGATGACAATCAGGGGTGCGACTGGAAGGAAGACGGGAAATGATTACACACATTCTGGCATATGAGAACGACGAAGCGCAGCCAGAGCTGGACCAATGCAAATACCAATGGCAACAATCATAACGTGCGCCTGGCACTGGGAAGGCAGCATCATCGAGTATGTGTTCTTGCGCGTCGCGAACTGTTTGACTGTTTCGCGCGGGAGTTCTTCACGCGGATCGAGACGCCATTGTTCAGTGTCCACACATGCCCAACAGCTTCCATCATTTTTCTTTGATTAAGAACTCTGGTCTTCAACTTGTTTAATCACGATTGTAAAACACTCCTCGTGCTCAGCGATTCCACGCGCTCGTTCCCCAACATTACGGTTACATTGCGATACGCAATGTGTCAAACGGCTTTGCAAGTACGAATTTCAAACCAGTGTTATTTGTCAATTGGCCTAGGCAAGTTTGTTTAACCCAGATGCTGAGCGCGTTCGCTAACACACTGACGTTCAATCATACTTGTTGAACCAACTGCGCAACGCACTCACAACACACATGAGTGTCTGCATGGCGATGCGCCCCCATGTCGATTGTCCCATCGTTCGACCATGTTCCCGATCCCGCGCATTTTTTCCGCCGGGGTACGCGTTGCCAGCTACCATGGACAAGCGCATGGAAGTTGTCGAAACGGCATGGGCAAACGCGGAGCGAATACTGAAGAACGAAGTGCTGAATAAACTGATGTGCAACAACAACGAGGCCGAGACGAAATGAACCCTGGGCAACGGCTCTGTCGGCGACGGCCTAATACTGGATAGGCGCCTACCGTCGACGCCGGTCGGCCTGCGCGCCCGAAGGGCAACATGGCCGCCTTGGGCCCCCAGCCCCGCGCCAGCCCTGGCTGAATTCGTCTACTGTCGCTTGCGCGCGGGGACTTTGGGCTCTGATGCACACTACCTTTAACCCGCAACCGCGAAGAGGGACACGAAACCCTGGAGAATGCGGTCGCTACGGGCAAACGCGTTGCGCAACGTCTGCGCATCGCGTGCGCGCACACGCGCAGATGGCGCATGCGTGCAATCGAACGTCTCATGATTGCACGGCTGCGAAGTGCAATCCCTGGCGCCAAAACAGAAAAACAGATTGTGCGTGCATGTGTGTGTCTGTGTGTGTGTGTGTGATCCGCTGCTGTACGGTAGTAGGGAAGCTCTGAATGTGCCCACAATTATGTCCAGAGCACTCCCCCTAATCGTGTAACAGCGTTCGAACGTGGACGCTGCCTGCTCGGATACAGGCTCGAAGTCATGGAATGTTGACGAACATGCGCGTTCGATCACTCGCACAGGCCCGATCCGCCGCGGGGGATACACGACCCACTACATCGAGGCACACATGTGTTTTTGCGCACGTTTGCCAACAGGCACTCTGCGAGCAGTGGAACGCGCTCGGTGAGTGACAGGAGTGATACTCTGCGGCTGACAGTCGCGAGGCCCAGGAAAGAGGCTAAGACGTTCAGCCTGGGGGAAGCGGGTCCTGAGGGAAACGGAACCTGAGGGAAACGGGTCCAGGACCCAGGGACCTTTCCCAGGACGAGATTTTCCTCTGAGTCGCCTTCTGACAGCTCTGGGGCCCGTGGAGGACCACAGAAAGCCAGAAATGGCGAACAAGACCCTATTACCTCCCCAAGCCCCCGACGTCATGATTTTTGCATACCGTCAACCCCCAGGGTTCTCGACTCGTTCCAAGGATGAGGCCGAGCAACTCGCCGCAAAGCTTGGGTTCATGCCGCCTCCCGCCTGAGCGGGGCTGCTCCCCGCTCGAAGCCCGCGGGGTTGTCCCAACGGCTTGGCCCGCGGGGCTGTCCCGACCGCCTGCTCCCGCGCCCCAGCTGCCCGTGGGGTTGTACTGAAGGCTTCGCGAACCAGCCGTCGGGGAATGCGCGCGCTCTGGCCGCGGCGGCGACGCCGACGAGGAACATCGATTTCCTTGCCCCGACCATGGGAAGGGGAGGAACGCGCGGAGAAGAAGCAGGGGAACGACGAGGACGGGGAAGGGGTAGGGAGGGGGTGATGATGAGGAGGAAGAAGTGGAGAAGGAGAAGGAGGATACTTAAAAGGAGGGGGAGTAGGTGAGGGCAAAACGGCGGGCGAGAGGAGTGTCCGTCAGGGCGAGGAGGAAAAGGGTAAGGGCAAACTACACAATTGCTCATGTGGGGTCCTTCCGTCGGAGTAACTACAGGTTGCCGATGACCCGCTCGGATTGCCAACATGAAATGCGGGACCCACAGGGAAGGGGCTCCCGCCTGAGACTTCCTCACAATTCACTCACAGACGAGGCTCCCGCTTGATACTTCCTCCAGATTCAAGCCTAGGGAGCCCAAACGTGACGACAGTTTCAGGTTGCCGATGACCCGCTCGGATGACCAACGTGAAGTGCGGGACTCATAGGGAAGGGGCTTCCGCCTGAGACGTCCTCACAATTCACTCACAGACGAGGTTCCCGCTTGATACTTCCTCCAAAGCCAAGCCTGAGGAGCCCAAGAATGGCGACAGTTTCAGGTTGCCAATGACCCGCTCGGATTACCAACGTGAAGTGTGGGACCCATAGGGAGGGGGCTCCCGCCTGAGACGTCCTCACAATTCACTCACAAACGAGGCTCCCGTTAGATACTTCCTCCAAATTCAGGCCCGAGGAGCCCAAAAATGACGACAATTACAGGTTGCCGATGACCCGCTCGGATTACCAACATGAAGTGCGGGACCCATAGGGAGGGGGCTCCCGCCTGAGACTTCCTCGGGTGACATAAGCGAGTGACGGTGATGAGTGAGTGAATGAATGAGTGAGTGAGTGGGTGGGTTGGTGGGTGGGTGAGTGATGATGATGATGATGATGAGTGGTGATGAGTGCGATGATGATGATGGTGGTGATGATGATGCTGATGATGCTGATGATGATGATGTGGACGATTCGGGGCCATCTTGTTTCTTCTTTGTGCAAACGGCGGAGGGCGGCCTCGAGGGATACGCCAGCAGTGAAGCACAGACACGGTGAAACATTAAAAACTCAAGTGGGTGGGGGGCCCAGGGTAGAACTTGAGCAAGGGAATGCGGCCGCGGTGTTGCCACAAATGCCGACAAGTCGCTGTGTGTGGACGATTCGGGGCCATCTTGTTTTTTCTTTGTGCAAACGGCGGTGGGCGGCCTCGAGGGATGCGCCAGTAGTGAAGCACAGACGCGGTACCACGCGCTAGTCTACCCAGGTGGCCACAGCCGAATTACTCATTGACCAAACATTTTCTTATATCTCGCGGCGCGGGGCAGATGGCGAGCTTCGGCCACTATCATTTCAGCGCCAGCAATGGCCACTTCCGAGGGGAGACCCTTAGCAGAGGCACGAGCTACGGCGTCCAGTGCTGGACGTCCCAGGCCTCCCAGGTGACGTCTCAGAGTGCAATCGCAGAGGCCATGGGCGCAGAGGCAACGACGAGCGAGGCAATCAAGATCCCGCACGCCCCATCCGACGAGGTGGATTCGCTGTCTCACGCGCCCCGCATACATGCACGCGTCGAGGGAGCAGGAGGAGGAGGAAGAGGCAAGGAGAGGGGGCAGGCGGGGATGCCTCCAAATGAGGCTCGACACAGGGTGCATACAAATGATCGGGACTCTGCGGAATATACACTCCGCAATCAATTTGAAGGTGGATTCAGCCAACGCGTTTGCCACTCGCACGGCGCGACAGGCGGCCTCTGAGGCTCTATTCACGTGCAGCAGAGAATCAAACTTGCGGACACGCGACGCCCCTGGCGCCCAGGTGTCCCAGGGCAAGGGCGCCCAGACTCCGAGCGCAGCCGAGGCGCGCACCCAGCCAGTCAGAGCCTTCAGAACCTGAGGGTCAGCGAGGTCGTCGAGGCGATGTCGAGCAACGTTCACCGCGACGGTGCCGAGCCCGCGGGCCTCGCACACTTGCCGAACTCGGTCGGGGACACAGGTGCAGAGCATGATGAGGTACGGCATCACTGTGGCATTTGCCCGCGCACGTAGCCACAGGCGCCTCGCACGAAGAGCCACTTGTCGGTCATCGCGGGAGGCGCCTGCACCGGCGCCGACGCCGACGCCGGCCTGAGGGGCGGCAGCGGCAGCGAGAATATGCCCGTCCTCGCCATCGCGCCCATCAGGCCCAGCAGATCGCTCTCGACCTTCTGCCCGAAGTCGACCAGCGCGGGGTCGAGCTGACCCAGCCGCTGCTGCATGCGCGCCCGCTTGGCGTACCTGTTCAGAGACTGGTCCGTCCTCCACCTGCCGCGGTCCTTGACCTCCTTCCTCGCGCGGCGACCCGAGAGGAGGTCGTCGGAGGCCCCCCCGTGGCGCAGCGAGTAGAGGGAGGTCTGCTGGTCGGAGATCCCGAGCTGGACCAGGGCCTCCGCGAAAGCGCGCCGCAGCTGGTGCGGCGTGAAGGCCCAGAGGCTCTCCTCCGCGCGGCGCCCTTGCCGAAGCGCCTCGAGGAGAGGCCAGGGGAGCGGATCGTCGACGATGACGCTCTCGTCGGTGACCCCCGTCTTGCCAGGCCTCCCGCTCGCCGCGTCGTTCACCAACAGCGCCCGGTGCTGGTGGCCCTCCGCGGCGCCCGACCTCGGCGCGATCAGGGAGGCCGCCGTGAGACGGTAGGCCTCGCTGGGGCGGAGGTACGTGTCGAACGCGATCCTCACGAAGACCGCCTGCGACAAAAGCCCCTGAGACAGCAGCGCGCCCACGATGGCGAACATCGCGACCCTCGGCAGCGGCGGCCTCATCTGCGGCGGCACGAGCTTCGTCCAACCCTGAAGGGCCCGAAAGGCCCGTGGCAGCGGGCGGCTGCCCATCAGCATCGACGGCAGATGGTGCTTCAGAGAGGCCATCGTGACGCGGCCCGTCGCACTGTCGCACCCGTCGAGGAAGAGGTGGACGAAGAACACCGCGAGGATCGCGTCGAGCTCGACGCTGTTCTTGAAGTCCCTGGCGGTCCAGAGGCACCAGTTCAGAAACCTGAGGGCGGAGGCGTGGTAGTTCTTGCCCGTCGACTCCGAGACCGCGCTGGCCTCCAGCACCGACAGTCCGCCCCGCAGGAGCGTCAGCGGACCAGGATGTTCCCGCCTGGCCCTCGCAGCCTTGATCACCTCCTTGGGGGATCCGCGGGCGGCGCGCGACGAGGTGCGACCCGACGTCCTCGAAGCTAGGGCCGACGAAGAAACCGTCCCTCGACGGCTTGTCCGCGACATTCCTCTCTGACGGCACCCGCCGCGCGAGCAGGCGCAGGCCGCGGGCGGGGGCCACGCCAGCGATCCGCCGCAGGGCGCGGAGAAGATGTCGGCTCCCAGACCGCCCCTTGCCGAGCGACAGAGCTAAAGCCAAATTGTCCACGATGCAGACGACGCGATGATGATGAGCACCCAGGGCCCTCGAGGCATGATGGGCGCTGAACCCCAGGGCCTCCGCCTCGTACTGAAGGATATCGCAGCCACGGCGGGTATGACGGCTAGAGCGCATGGTCTTCCAACCCTCGGCCCCGTAGATGGACTCAGGGGCCTCGGGGAACCCACTGGGCCCAGACGACGAAGCAGTGGAGGCAGTAGACGATGTGTCGGCACGGCAACCGTCGGCGGCATCGTCTCGACCGTCGACGTCAAGGGCATGTGATCTGGCAAGCACGGCACCCCCATGACGATATCTCCAGCGTTCGGCGACCCGGCCGACCTCGGACGACAGCGCGGGGGAGACCTCCTTGACACAGACACCCTTCCCGAACGGCGACGCATCAGAAGCATGGACCCGCGAATACCAGCGAGACCTTGTAGAGGCACTCCAGAGCGGGATGAGGGCCACGGCAGCCGACAACTCCCTGACGGCCGAGGGCCACAGGGGTCCAGGATGAGGTCCCACAGCCCCCATGAATCGACGATAGACCGCGTTAAAGATGCTCGGAACGTCGCGCCTCAGGATCATCCCCCAAGTACAGTGGCCTACGAGCGCGCTGAGGGCCCCATCAGAGGCCCGCCCACGCTTCAAACGCCCGAGAACGGCTTGACGAGTGCGAGCGAGGCGGCCAGGACGAACGCGAATGATCCCAGAGGCTCCGTCGATCTCCAAGCCCGTGAATACCCCCTTACTGACCGCAGGGGGGAATTCCATGACAGGCAACCCGCGGGCCGTGAGAAGGTCAGCAACGGCGCGCGCCAGGGACGTGGCTGTCTCGGCACACTTGGATACGACACAGAAGTTGCCAACGTATCCTGCACGCACCGCGTCCTTCTCAGCGACCAAGGGCCGAGGGCAGCCCCCATCCAGAATCATATCGTCACGGCCGAACCCGACATCCGACAGGGCTCTCGTCAGCGCACTCTGGCACAGGTGAAGGGCCCAACTCCACCCCATGGGAACGACCGTGACAAGAGGCTGGACGCAGTCGTTGATGCCGAGACGAACCCCGTTGACCGACTTGAGGCCGACGAATCTGTTGTTTATCGGTGGCAGAGAGAACAGCGACCCCATGCCAGCTGGCAGTCGTAAATGATAAAAAGCACACCGAATTTCGCCCTGCGCGAAATGAAAACTGTCGTCGCAGTCACGGCTGGCCCACGCGCTGGGCGTGGGCAGACGAGTGGCCGGTGGGCACGAGAAACTGCAGTTGGCCAGCCTGGTGTCGAACACCAACATCAGCTTGCCGTTTGATTTCTGCGCGAAGAAGAGACCAGTAGAGAAGGATGCCTGTTCGCTGGAGACCCGCCAGGTGATCATGCCGTGGGCCTCCAGCTGCTTCCAAAACTCAGCGTAGGACTTCGGCTTAAAGCGCAGCTCAGGATCGACATAGGGGCGGATAACCCCCAGCGATTCGCGCAGCTCCGCCGCCACCGACTCGGGATTCAGCATACTCTGCCTCCAACCCTGCAGCACGATGGAGTCGGCCTCGGAGACGACGCCGCAGGTGGAGACTGCCTTCGTCGACTCGGGCCAGGCCACAAGCGGCATGCTGTAGGGGCGCACTCGACCGCTGTCACCAGCGTAGCCAGGTGCCTGTGCGAGCATCTCTACGAGGGATGCTTCGCAATCGCGGCCTCTCTCCGAGTAGGCGGCGGGCAGCTCGAAGTCGCGGTGCAAGCCCGCGATGTAGTCCACTGAGGCTGCCTGGGCCGTGGGCGGTGCCCCCCCTTCGTCAGGCATGGAAGGCTCGTCCTTGCCGCAGTGGAGCCAGTTGAGAGCAGACAATCCCTCGTTGCACCACTCTCTCCAGCCCGCGCCTTTGGCGGCGCGCAGACGAGCCCCGCGACCAAGCGGAAGATGGCGACGCCCATCCACTGGAAGAAGAGGAAGCGGAAAAACGTCACGCTGGCGATGGTCACCTCGCGTGGGCAACTCCAAGCCAGGTGGGGCCTCGACGGACTCGGGGCCAAGCTGGCCAGGCTCGCGAGCAGGTGGCGCGTCGTGGGGCCCCTCCTGACCAGCGTCCTTCGGGAACGTCATGGCTGCCGCAAGGCCCGCTCCTCGCGAGCCTTGCGGCGTTCCTTCGCAACGGCAGCCTCGCTCTTCATCTGCTCAGCGATCCAGTCCATTACGGGTGGGAAAATGCACAAATTGCCCATCGTCTCTCCAGTGCCGAGGAAGTGGCCAATCTCGGAGGAAACGTCGGCGGCCGCGGCCGCGGCGCCGCCCTTGGCCTGGCCCTTGGCCTTGGGCGCAGGGTGAGTCCTGCGCGCGCGCTCCTCAAAGAGGCGCCCCTCCACCATCAGCAGCTGCCGCGATAGGAACTCGTAGGAAGACAGCTCGCAGATGATCAGCTGGTCGTGGCAGAGCGAGGTCTCGATGACACGGCGCAGCGTCTCGTACAGCCTGTCGGTGTCGTCCGTCTCTGAGGCCTGCTTCATGGCCATCCAGCGGTGGAGCCATGCCGTCGCCCCGCCCGCCATGCGGAGCATGAAGTGGAGCACCCGCATCGTGGTCGTTAGGCCCTTCACGGGCCAGTCGGCGCGGGGGGTCTCGGTCTGGCGCTTGACAGCGCCCCTGAAAGGCATGTCCCGCAACCCCCGCGCGTCGAGGACGGTGGCCAGCACGCGGGGATCAGACCCTGCGGCGCCTGGGGCCGCGGGGGCCGCGGCGGCGGCGCCGACGCCCGGAGGGCCAGCGGCGGCAGGCAGGGCGGCCCCCCCGCGCCGAGCGCCGCAGCCAGCGCGCCCAGCCCGCCCACAGGCGTAGCGGCAGCCGCGGCAGGCGGCCCAGGGGCGCCCGCGGGGGGCGCGGCCGCGCCAGCCAAGGCCAGGGCGCCAAGCGCTGCGGCGGCGGGGGCCGCTCCGAGCGGGTCGAACACGGCCAGGACCCCCTCCGCCACGCCCAGCACGTTGTCGGCGCTGAGCTCGAGGATGAAGGGCGAAGGCGCCAGAGGCCCATGGCCCTGGGCGACGCCGCTACGCACAGCAGCCCAGGCGACGGCTGCAGACGGCAGCCGCCTGAACTTGAAGAGCTTGTTGGCGGCGACGCCGACGATCGCGTCGCCATGGCCCGCCGAGTCATGCGCAGCTCTCGAGTCACCACCTGCCGAGTCGCTCTCAGCATATACCTCATCGTCAGGGGCAAGGATGGACCCAGGCAGCAGAGTGAGTCTCTCGTGGTGGATAGCGGGCGCCCCGACGTTGTACCGAAAATAATGGAACTGTCCAGCGGCGCGAGCAGCCATTCCACCTAAAGGCGGAACTTCCTCGCCTGGGTAGTCGCCGCAGTCGCGAGGTCGAGAGTGTCCGCGGCCTCCTGAAGCGATGCTGGAGCGGGTGCAGGTTGCACCACGGGGGCCGTCAGCGAGCTCTTGAAGCAGTAGCCGCCAACGACGCTGCCGTACGCGAAGCCACCCACCACGAGCACGACCACGAACTCGATTGACCAGCCTGTCGGCTGGGCAGAAGCCAGCGAGCCTTGCCAGTCGAGCAGCGGCACTGCACCGCTGGGCAGGCCAGCGCAGGAGAGCAGACGCAATCGAAGAAGGGCGTCGAGCTGCCGCGCACGGTGATGGCAGCGGAGAGGGCACTGTGAGGTCGGCGTTGACCCGCTCAAAGAATGAATGCTTGCGTTCCTTTAGAACTTGAGCAAGGGAATACGGCCGCGGTGTTGCCACAAATGCCGACAAGTCGCTGTATGATGATGCTGCTGCTGATGCTGCTGCTGCTGATGATAATGATGAGAGGGAGAGTGAGAGAGACAGGGGGGTGAGGAGGAGATCCTGCGCGGAGGGTGTCCAGAGAAAACAAGAACCCCACTTGGGATGTGGGACAAAAACAAAAAGAAAGACGGGCGATGCGCCTGCCGCGAGTCCAGCTGTTCCGAGCCCATCCCCTCTCCGCCCAACTCCCTTGCCGATTATCAATCCTCGATCCTCCACTCGATGACCCTCAGAATGTGTGTTAGCACCAACGTGTGCAAGTCTACCAAAAAGCCCGTCGATGCGACGCAGACGGCACAAATGAGGGCCGACACGGGCTGCATGCTACTGGCGGAGCTGAACTGGGCAGACACCCAGTGGGCAAGCACACGTCCCGAGGATCCTCGATCCTCCTCCTCTCGGCGATTCCGACGGGTTTGGTTTGAAAAGGGTTCGGTCTGCAACCCGCTCCCCGTGGGGCGGGCGAGGACCTCGACAGAGTTGTCCGCCGCACCCCGAGCTAGGGCTCCCAACTTCGCGCTTCGCGCTCCGCGAAGCGCGAAGCGCGAATAACTTCGCGCTCTCGCGCCGCCCCCCCAAAGGGAGAAAAGGAGGACGAGGAGGAGGGGGAGGAGAAACGAGGACCGCGAAGCGCGAAGCGCGAATAACTTCGCGCCCTCGAGGGAGCCCTTGCCGAGGAGGCCCGGCGAGGGCAGCGTGGTGCCTCCGAAAGTCCCAGCGGCGAAGATCACAGACCACACCCCGGCGTAATCACACCGTTGTAGTCGCCGAACCTCGGGTCGGGCGAAAGGGGGGGATAGCAAAGGGGGGGGTTGAGAATCAGCTCACGTAGCTGATTTTCCCGGCGCCTCCCGGCGCCAGGAGGCGCCCATGTATCGAGGAATGGGCCCGTCGGCGGGTCTGAAACCAGCTGCGTGCAGCAAATTTCGTAACCCCCCCTTTCCCAATCCCCCCCTTTCGTCCGGCCCGAGAACCACCCCCTCCTTCGCCAGCAGCTTGATGCTCTGCGGGTCCCCGCCGTTCTTCGCCATGGCCTTGGCGTCCTTCTTGATCTTCTCCTGCGAGGCGCCCCGCAGAGGCACGAGGAGGAGGAGGGATGAGGAGGGCGGAGGCCTTCTCCTGGCCGTCCTCCTCGCCCTCGTCTTTCCTGTTTTGATAACCCTTAGAACTTAGAACGTGCATTAGCACCAACCTGTGCCTCTCCACCGAGGCCATTCAACACGTCGCAGGCGGCGCAACGATGGCCAACGTAGGTTGCGTGCTATCAGCGGATCCGAACGGGGTAAGTACACGCCTGGGCCAACACACGTCCTGAGCATCATCGACTGTTCTTGGCTCGCGGGGGCCTCCCTCGTCGCCTCGGCCGGACGCAGCACGACAAACTTGCCAAAACAGACTCTGGGAGGCGCCCCGATCGGCCCACAACCGCACGACCGCGCGGCCGCGGCCGCAGACGCGGCCACCTCGACGGTGGCGGCGTCGGCGGCTGCGACGGCGACGAAGAGGGCGCTGGCAGCGACGGCGACGGCGGTGGCGGCGACGAAGCCACCGCCGCCGTCAAAACCGTCGCCGTCGCAGGAGGTGGAAGAGCTAGAGAGTGCTGGGGTGCTTGATGCCTCCAGGAGTGTGGCAGGCGACCCGACCAAAGCCGCCGCCAACACGAACAATAACTACGCCACGGCTACGGCACTCGGCGCTACAGAAGGCCTAAGTAAGCGTCGTCTCAAGCAGGCTGGTCGTCCCGCGGCAGGGACGCACTCGCCTGCCGCGCTCCCCCCGAGGCCCGAGAGGCCGCTGGTGCTCGCAGTCCTCCTCGGTCTCCTCACCGTCGCCAATGGTGTCCAGGTAGGCTCCGATGTGGAGCGGGTCTTTTGTACTTCTGCCAATTGCTAAATGAACGACGAAAAGAAATGGGTCTTAAGCGAGATGGCATGGCTTGCGCGAGTCGTCAGCGCGGCACACCGCGTGAAAAAGAGGGCGCTTACGCGCGACCTTACGCGGGAAGCTTACGCGCGAATGTAGGCGCAGTCGACTCCATTCTCTTCCGTTGCTCAAATGCGGTACGAAGAAGCAACTCGGTAAGAACAGGAGATGGCCTTCGACGCCTGGACACGCCCAAGCTGGCGTTTCCACCGCAGCAAGATGCTGGCTCAGCGTGACAAGCTGAGCACGCAGAACAACAAAGCACACCCCAAGACTGCGACCCACCGCTCCCCGATTCCTCTCCAGGTGTCGTGCCCTCCCTTCCGCGCACCCAAGACCTGCCCCCCCCCGTGCGAATCCTCCTCACACACACACACACGCACCAGCAAACAAGGAAACATTCCTCGAGAAGAGCAGACGCCTGAGGACTCCTCCGGAAAGTGAAACAAATCCTCGGGACTCTGGCAGCAGGGTGGGCACCTCCAAGATCATAACCTTTTCGCATCGGGGGCGTCCAAGAAGGGGGGTTGCGGTTAGCATGGCCCGATGCATGTGCACGGACGAAGGGCGGACCAGGGGACCAAGAGGGGGCCGTGAAATCTGGGAAGATACCATGGCCCCGGCCAAGATATCATCCAACCCCTCCTCGTCATCGCCCCCATCTTTGGCGCACCCGAAGCGCGGACCCCAGGTTTGCCCAAACTAATGACCCGGGACCCGCTGTTCATCCCAAGTAGCTTTGCGACGGTCCTGGGACCCGGTGAGCGCCCCCAGCGGCGGTAAATTATGAAAAACCGCCGTCGTGATTCTTGTTTCGCCCTGTGAGCGACTAGATGCCTCCTGAATAGGGTTCGAATAGATGGGATCGGAGCATCGCCCATGCATCGCCGATGCATTGGCGATGCATCGCCGATGCATCGACGACGTCGGGGATGTATCGGCGACGTCTGGGTAGATACAATCGGGCTCCACATCGCGCCGCATCGGCGATGCATCGTGGATGAGGAGCGATCCTTCGACCCCATCTACTCGGACTCCATTTGGGAGGCCTAGAGTGTCGGGGCACGCGAGCACTTCACGGGGCACTCCTTCCAGGCGTGGAAGGCCCAGTGATTCTTCACCGATCAGGTCGGCCACCGCCGCGCCGTCGGCAGGTTAGGGAGCGAGAAGGGGGGCGGGGCGGGGGAGATGGAGAGAAAGAGGGAGGGGAGGCGACGATGAGGGGACAGGGATGTATGCGGATAGATCTGTGTATATATATATATATTTATACACACATCGAGAGAGAGAGAGAGAGAGAGAGCGAGAGAGTGAGAAAGAGTTAGAGATGGGGGAAGAGAGCGGGGGAGAGGAAGAGGGCGAGAGGGAACAAGGTGGTCCGAAGCATTGCACGTCCCAGGATGGTGCCGCACAACGTGTGCGACTGCACTCCCGAGCTGCGTCCGGCACCAGAGCAGTGGTGCAGCCCCCCCCAAACGCGTCCTCATCCTGCTCTATTCTCTTGATGCCACGCTCCACCTGCCCGCGCTTTGGAACACGCGCGATCCTGGAATCCGCCTGCACATGTTGGCGACCGTGTGACATTCCAAATTGCGGCGTTCCGATATTGGACGGTATTGTAAACATCACGTCGGAGCCCCGTTCCATCATAAAAAATGCTCCCTCACACGCTGCTGCATGCACGCTCGCATGACACGATACTGACTCGAGGGTACTATTTGCACGAGAGCGCCTTCTTGAACGCATTCCCATACAGACTTCGCGCGCACACGCGCAAGCACCTGCACACATGTGTGCAACGACATGCGGATGTACCTGCAACATAAACACATGAAAAACATCGACTTCCAACACAGCCCTCTTATCTTCCGCAACCGATGACGCCATCTTACTCTCCTCTCGAATCTCCTCCAACTTCTCCTCCGCCTCCGCCTTCTCCTCCTCTTCATGATCAGTCAGCTCAGTTTAACGCACAATTTCGAAGGTGGGCCATACAACTAGTTTTGTTGATGAGAGGGCGGGAACTCAGATACGCACTATCGTAGAACTGCCATGGACACACAACGATGATATTTGGCATAGAGCATGCGATTATCAAAAGGAGAGGACGTGAGTGCATGCGCTTGACGTACACTTGACACCCTTGGCGCACGCAGACCCTGCCTTCTAGTGGAACGTCAAATGTGCAGGAGGAGTCACAGAGATGGGAATGAGGAAGGGCGGGGGAGAAGGGAACGGGATGGGGAGGACATCTCCAGGCGTCGCAACGAACTCACGACGACTTACTTTTTCCCCAGATTCGGCCTCTCGGGTATGCTTTCGGGCCCGCGGACTTCAAATGGTGGAGAGCTCTGTGGGCTCGCACCTTCAAAACACACGCGATGTCGGAGATCTGGGCCCCAGACCTCTGACGTCGCGTTTCTTCTCGCGACTTGGGCTCCAGCGCTCACGACCCAATACGATTCGTGGAGGGACTGGCTCGGGTCAGCGCTGTGCTGGGTCAGCCAGGAGCGTGCGGAGACCCTGGCTCGGCCATGAATTAGATCCCGAACCGGGGTCAGCGGACCGGGGGGGCCACTGCTCGTGGCTTCCAACCTGGGTAAACCAGAGAAGATCGCATGGGAATGGCTCATTTACCTGCACATAGATCCCCGATCTCGTCGGCTGGGGTCGGGTTGCTCTGGGGACCGCGTCTTCGTTGTTTCAAAGTACCTCGTTTCCAGCGGCGGACCGTGGACGCTCCGTTGCCCCTGCAGAAGCCGAACCTCCACGGCGTGTCTTGGCGGCAACTGTCTTAGGGTCCGACTCAAGCCTCCGGAAGCCCAAATCGCCAGCAATGGAAGAACGTGGAAATCTTCCTTCTCCGCTCTCGGGTATCCGGCACCGCGCCCTGAGGCACGAGTAGGAGTGTCCTCATGTCTCTCAAAGGTCTTCGTCGTCAGTCCTGGGTCAATGGGTATAAAGGATTTCCTGGGGCTCCCCGCATGTTCTCGCATGACGTTTCGGAGCGAAGAGGGCCCCCAAACGGATCGAGAAACCCTCAGTATCCCCCGAATAGGGCCCAAGAGGCCACGCCCACTTCACCCCTGCGCCCTCCCTCTTCCTCCCTCCTCCCTCCGCACCTCCTTCCTCGCTCGTTCCTTCCTGCCTCCCCCCCACCTTCGCCTCGCCTCCTCCCCCTCCTCCTCCTCCTCGCTCCTCCCTTCTCTCTCACCGTTTTTCCCGTTCGAGGTTTTTGTGCGAACGTCGTCGGGGCAATCGCCAGACGCGCCCGCCCAGCTGATGTCGGCGCGTCGGGTTAACCGTGCCCCGCCATGGCTGCCTGCTGATGTTCTGCCCCATGTTGTGCGGCCCATCTAGTGCTGCCTGTGTTGCGGGCAAACGTCGCTTCAAAAAGCGCAGGGTCGCCATCCAGCATGCGCACATGCTGGCGCTGGCCGTGCGTAACCTGATAGGGGTGCGGGCCCCCGCCTGGCTTCGACGCGTCGCCCGTGGATGTCCTGCTTTAGGAGCTCGTGTCGCAAAGGCTGCGGGTGGATGTCGCCGCTGCCGCCTGCAAGCCCTGCGCCAGGCGTGGCGTCGCTGGCTTGGGCGCCGAGGCGCCGCCGCGAGCTGACCCGTAGTGGTCGCCGAGATCGGTTGGCTTGCGCTGACCATCCAGGCCCCTAGCGTTTTCTCTAGCGGCGCAGTCGCAGGCCACTGCCGCTGTCGGGCCCCTGACGCCCACGTGCCGGGCGACCGCATGCCGCGCTGCTTGGCCCTGGCGCTGCGCCGGCGTTACGCGACAGACTGAGGCTGGTCGCCTGAGCAGCTCCCTGGCGGGGCCCCCGAGGCGCCCACTGAGCTGCCCCAGAGCGAAGCCACTGAGGCGCCCGCCGAGCTGCTCCAAGGCGAGACCACCGAGGCGCCCACCGACCTGCTCCAAGGCAAGGCCGCCGAGGCGACAGCGGAGCTGCTCCACGGCGACCCCGCGGCGCGACCACTGCGCTGCTCCAGGGCGCCCACCGAGCTACTCCGACGACTGCGCGAAGGCAGGCACCAAGCTGCTGCGACGCACTGCTTCAAGGAGACCGCCGAACCGCCCTGGCGTGCCGCGGCGCACGGGGGCGCGGAGACTCGAGGCAGCGCGAAGCTCGCAGCTGCTGCGACCGCTTCTTGGAGCTGCTCCTGGCTGACGCCCCTTGCCGGAACTGCTGGGGCTGCCCCGCTTCCCCGCGCTTGCCGGGCGCTGCCGCGCGCGGCCCCTGCCCCCGAAGGGCGTGCCGAGGCGACCGCGCGCGCGACTGCCGTTTAGATCGCTGTCCAATTGAAGGCCGCTGCCGCTGCGGGGCCTTCGGCGACAGCGCGCCAGGCGACGGGGCGCTTCGCTGCTTGGACCAGGCGCCGCGCCGGCGCAATGCAGCAGGCTGAGGCCGGTCGCCGGGCGAAGGCCGAGCGCTAGGCTCGGGCGGCGCGCTTGACCGCGGAGGAGGGCCAGGCCGCAGCCGAGCTCCAGGCCGAGCGCCATGCCAAAGCCGAACGACAGGCGGAGGCCTAGCGGCGCGCAGAGGCCGCGCCCCAGTCGGCGGCTAAACGCACGGCAGACGCTGAACGTCTGGCCGCAGCGGGGCGCCAGGCCGCTGCCGAGCGCCAGGCCGAGGCCGCGCGCCACGCGGCGACCGAGCGCCTGGAAGGCCCCACTCAGAGGCCGAGCGCCCGACGGAGGCCGAGAGCCCGGCAGAGGCCGAGGGCGGAGCCGGGGGCCAAGCAACGGCGGCCGAAAATAAGCCATCCGCACCGCGCGCCCCCGAGCACTTTCCGCGAACATGGCTTGGGCACAACTGGAATTCGAGGGCGGCTGCTGTGGCGTGGCTGCCGTCGCCTACCGTTTCTTCGCAAGCGTCGCCTGCCTTTTTTTTCGCAAGCGTCGCCGTCTTGTAGCATCGCAGTTCCGCCGTTCCCCGCGCCCCTGGCCCGTGCAGGTCTGCTCCCCGCCGTCCGCCTGCAATCGCCCATGGGGGCCCAGGCGTTCTGCCTTTCGCTGAGGAGGCCACCTGGCGGGGAGCTCGGGCTGAACCTGCAGCGCGGCGCAGGCGGCAGGTCCCTGGTCGCGCAGCAGGTGGTGCCCGGGCGCTTGCTCAATGTATGGGAGCGATCAAATCTGGCGCGCGCGTGGTTCATCGCGCGCCGAGGTGGTTCCTTTCTGCCAACGGCGCAGCCGACGGCGACGACATCCTGCAGGCCTGCCGCAACGCCCTCGCCCCGACGGCGGCGGTCGCGCGCATTCGCCAGCATGAGGGGCACGGGCCCCGAAGAAAGCGGGCCCTGGACTTGGGGGCCTGCCCCCGGGACGAGATCTCCACCCTGAGTCGCCCCCTGACGGCCCCGGGGCCCGCGGAGGGCTCCGAGCCGTTTCCCCCATGGCGCCGACGCTAGTGCTGGTGCTGGGCGGCGGGGGGGGGCCCTTTGCTGAACGCGTCGCGGCGCGGCATTCCCTCGCGGGGCCTCTATCGGCGCATGGCGCCCCCAAGCCTGACGCTCCAGGCGCAGCTGGGAGGGGCGCGCTGCCGCCATTGCCTCCTGACGAGGACGCGACTGCCGCGCGGCAGCCGGGATCCGTGCTGCATGGCGCCCGCTGGGCGTCGCGTAATGGGGGGCGATGAAGGGGCGGGGAAGAAAGGTGCACTTCTCGGGGCCTCAAGGCCCCCTTCTGGGCTCTGGAGGGCCCCTTCGGTGCTCTCAAGTGGCCCTTTTCTGCAGCCCTCGCCGCCCCCCCACTCGTCGCCCCCTCGCTGCGCGAAGCCCAAGCCTGGCAGCAGAAGCCCCGGCGGCAGTTCTGGCGACTGCAACAGTGCCCCCGCAGCGCGCGACGTTCCCCCCGCCGCGCGCGCCCAGAAACAACGGCAACATGCGGGCCACAAACGCAACGAGAGAAATACCTGGGGACGAAACTAACTACCCTCCGCCGTCGATTCCCACCCGTTGCAAGGGCAACGCAGCCGCGAATAGTCGTCTCGGCTGAAATGTCATGCGTTCGGAGGAAGTTGGAATTCAGGTTCGGCGGGGGCGGCGGTGGGGGAACTTTGCCTGCGTGTCTGCGTCGCAGCCAGCGGATCCCTCTTCTTTCGACCTCTTTGTCGAACCAGATGCCCCAACCTCTCCGCCCCCGGTTCCCCCCCTCCATCCCCCGCCCGTTTCGCGCTCTGCGAGTGGGCCCAGCGGGGCCAAGAATGCGCGGCGCGCCAGCTCGCCGCGACTTGTCGCCGGTCGCTCGCTGGGGCTACTGTCGCGAATCCCCGTTACGATCGATCGTGCGTCGTGCCCTGCTAGGGACTGGTAGATCAACGCCTCCCTCGGCGGTGGTGCCCCCCCCCTGCGCTCCCTTCCAAGCGGCGCTCCCTTCTGCGGTGCGTCCACGCAAGAACGCTAACTGTCTCGCCTGCACAGTTGCTCGCACGTCGGCCACGTCGTGCACATGGCGTGGGACGAACCCGAGATGTTGGGTCTACGCCCCGACATATTCCCACTGACGCTTCGCG